CTCAGCTGTGACTTTGTTTGAAACTATTTTCGTTGATGAAATAGAGCAAAATCAGGCAATAGTGTTGTAGTCAGACAATGCAAGTCACTTAATATTAATTTCTTGTTTAATGAACTGTTGTATTAAATCAATATCACATTTGCAAACTCCCTTAATAATCATTAAAAGCTGTCACTCATCTTAGTTTATCGCGATCTCACAAAACTCCATTATAATCGACGAAGCTCTCTACACTGCACAATGAATCTCTTATTTACACCCTGTCAACACTTTGTTTGTTATAATGAGAGGATATGTCTGTGATAAATTACTCAACGCTGCAGAAACCCGTACGTATGTTAGAACCTTTGAAGCTCCCTCAGCGCAAACACAAATACGCTGATCGGGTCAGTTGCACAGGTGCTCCTAAATATTATTTCATAGTCGCACGCAGTAGTTTTGCGACTGAAATGGTCGCACTGTAGAGCCCTGTGATGAGATGTTTAAAGTGGTAATGTCATGGGGAATCACATTTTTCTTGATCTTTTCAGTACTATGAAAACATTTAGAACAAAACTTCCTATTCAGAAATACATTCACTAAGTTCACTTAGTTTACAAAACTAAAAAGAGGGTTGAACCCTTAATTTTTATTATTATTATTATTATTTTTTTTTTGCAGCGGCTGGCAGTGGTTCGGCTACAGGAGCGTGGGAAGGAAGTCCTGGGCAAAAAGCCCCTCTGGTGGCCTCAGACAGCAGCTCGTCTGGAGGCTCAGACAGTGAAGAGGACCCTGGAGAAAATAAGACAGAGAGTTCCCCTAAAACACTTGCCAACCAGACAACAGCACCCTCGAGGTAAGAACACTTTGCGAAGAAATAGCAGCATTAGTGTTTTAATGTAGTTCCAGAAAAAAAGGATTCTCATGACTTCAGGAAGGGAATAATATCACCATTTTTAAACGATGACAGAAGACCTGTAGTGTGATGATCGTTTAGTTATGCTCTCTAAACAAACCACTTAAAGGGAAGAGAAATATGACAGACCAGACTGAAAAGTGAATCCCATTCGGACACTTCCCTATATCAAAGTAATTGACTTAAGGTCACATTTACTGTAGTTTGGGGATTTTTCACAGACAAAATCCAGTGATTTCAATAGGAATTCACGCAATTGGAAATTTCGTGTGAGGGTGAAAGATTCTTGCAGCAGGGCTGTACGTTAACTTTTTTTTCACATAGCACTGGTGCTACAGAGGTTGAAAGTTTTGTAGCACAGGCCAAAAAGTTGTAGCACAAGTATAAAACGTCTGTTATCATGTCTGAAAACAAACACAAGTAATGGAGTTCATCACTTAAACAGGCACTGATGTTCCATACAGAGCACAAAAAATACAAAAAATTGTTTTTAGACAAAGTTTTCTTAATTTGATAAAAATGGAAGAGTGCAGCCCTAACTACCAAGTATAATCAATCTCACACACACAAACAAGCACAACGAAATCACTTCACACTATTAAGCGGCTGTGTTATGAACATGCAAAACTGTATCGCACGCGTGCTACAGTGGTAAATTTATTCATCGCACAGACCAGTATTTTCGTAGCACGTGCGACATGTATGTCGCACTGTACAGCCCTGCTTGCAGGGTTCAAATTGGTTGTGAATTTGCTTTTGACCAGCAGAAAGTTGCTTGTTTTGTTGTGATGCTTCATCGCTACACTACAGTGGATGGGGTTTTTTTGGCCCACAAAATTTTGCTAATGTTGACTGCACCTTTAGATTGTCTCTTACTCCACTTGTCCAGTTGATTCAATCAAGTTTTAAAGGGGTCATCGGGTGCTACATGCACTTTTACAAGTTGTTTGAACTGAAATGTGTGTTGGCAGTGTGTGTACACAACCACCCTATAATGATAAAAATCCACCCAGTGTTTTTTTTTTTATCTACTAAAATCTTTACCCCTTTCTCAAATCAGATGTCTGTCTGTGTGACGTCACAAAAACAGCCCCCTTCCACGATAGTTTGATTGACAGTAACGTTTCAGCACAGACTGGGTGTCTTACCTTAGACCCGCCCTGAGTGAGCTGTCATCAGCCTGCCATTGTTTCACCGCCGGAGCAGATGTAGACTATTTTGTTTTACTAAACCGTTTCATATTGAATCTAGGGGGTAATCTATTAGACTGGCTGTCAAATGCGGCTTTACCGAGCTCAACAGCTCTGACCCGAGCAGATATAAACTAAACGCTATTGGCTATTTTAAAAATGGGGCGTGGCTGCTCGATATGTCCCGCCCTCTCTTCCTGTTTCAGTTGAAATTACGTCACCACATAGAATAATGCTGCGTGTTTCAAGGCACTTCAGGGGACCTTTAAATTCAACACATAAACAATAATAATACACCTAAAATGTAAAAACATACAATCTACTCCACTTTACTGCAGCGCTGCAGTTTTAAATTTGTTCTTTTAATTCAGATAGGAGGTCATGTTGTGACGTATCGATCTGCCGTTGGTCACACGGTATCACGTGATGCGAATTCACAGGCCAGAGTTCACCAAGTTTGAACTTTGGAACGCAGCGAAAATGCGGAAACTTCTCGCACGGGCTTGCGTTTCCAGTCTGATGCATTCGCATGCGTATGAATGGAAGTCAATGGAGAGAAAAGTGCAGTGTGACCGCGGCTTGACTCCTAAGCGATTGAGGTGTTCTGTTGTTGGATGTAATAATGAACATAGCAGTAGTCATTTACTCCCGACATCTGAGCCGCTGAACTCGCAGTGGATTGTTTGTTTCTGAAGGGAATGCCCCCCTGATCAACCTAAATGCGTCTATGTTCGTGCGAATCATTCGTGATCCAGCTTCACCTACAGAAGAAGTGAGTATAAGGTTTTTTCATGAATCTTTGCAAATGGCCTTTCCTAATAATGTGGCTAAAGTAAACAGTCCCTCAGAGAGCAGCTTGGAAGAGAGGGGCGGGGTCAGCAGAGCTCATTAACATTTAAAGGAAAATGCTATAAAAAGGCTTGCTCTGAAAAGAGTTGTTTTTGACAGGGTAATGAAATTTTAACCAAACTGTGTTACAGACTTTTCATTAAGACCCTAAAGAATCATATCAACTTGTGAAAAATGGGCATCAGATGACCCCTTTAAACAATTTAATGATGAAAAGTGATCACTTTCAGTGTCGTAATTGTGAAAGCAATTTTGATTCTGTAAAGACGTAGAAGTATTTAGTGGTAAATGTTTGTGCTGCACTCTTGCACTCTTTTCTCTGCAGCGAGGTGCCTACTGAAGCTCTGGAGAAGCTCAGCATCACAGACAATAGTGAGTCTTCAGCGTCTACAGAAGAGTCAGACGCTACCACTGTGATGGAGACAAGGTAAATGTGAATGTGTATTAACCAGATGTTATGTTGTTAGATAAAAAAGGACCCGCCACCCTCTCTTATTCTCTTATGCCTCTACAGAGTCGAGGCGCCTTCTTCAGCTGAGATCATGCCTAACGGACCGGTCTGAAGGCTCTGGATAGGAGTCCGACCCACTCTCTGCTTCTTCCATTCTGAACCCCCAAACCTCAATACCACTTTTGGTGTTTAAATAAAGAATGCTGCCATGTTATTGGTCCTGGATACTGCCAATCAGCCCATAATTGGAGGAGGAAGCCAGGGGCATGTAACACAAGAAACCAGTAACCAGTACAGTGCTCAGAGGTGTTAGTCTTTTAATCCTTTCAACTTTGTATGAGATATGCACAGTTTTAAATGTAGCAGTGACCGTGTGATTACAGGATCTGTCAGGACTTCTTTTTTTCCTTGGTTTGTGTCCCTCCCTTCATTTTTCTGGATCTGTTTTTTCGCTCTCAGCCTTGGATGGTAGAAAACAGGGATGTGAAGGTCCTAATTGGAAAGCACAGGCTCATCCTTCACGGCATTACGTCTTGAACATCCTCATGCAAAATCGAAAGCCTCGTTGCCTGACAACAGCCTCTGCAACAATTTACTGTATGTTGAAGCACAACTGAAATGTTCTGTAATGCTTGACACATTTCTGCACAGGTCACCGCCCTGCCAAGTTCACTTTTAAGATTTTTTAAACATATTATTATGGCCTAATCTCATTAAATCATGTATTTGAATGTTTTGAAGTGCTTTGGGGCAGAAATGTATGACACGGTGTCCACGTCGGCACCTGTGCAGTAATGTTTAGTCATTTAATTTAAATTTGACTCATTCGGAAACTATACATTAGTGGTGGGGGTGTGCCTCTGAATTTTTTTGGACTTTTTCCATTGCATGCAAAACATCATTTATCAAGCATATACAAGCAGCTGTTTTTTTTCCGACAACGTTCTAGCTAGTTAGTCAAGACCTTCTGATTGTATTGGTTTACTTTTGTCCGTTCTTTTCCCCTCCCCTCAGATCAACTAAACAGTTTCTATTTAATTTTCTGCATTTTATGCTTAAGCTTTCCAAAAATTGAATCATGGGTTTAAAGCAAATAGCTTAAAGTAATCGTAATAACCTTTGCCTTAAGTTACAAATCCTTCAGAATCCCTGTGACAGGACAGAAGGGTTTGCCACAAAGCAAACAGGCTTTTTTGTCTGTTTTTAAATGTCAGCTGGTCTCGAAAGAACCGCCCCCCACAATTTTATTAGTATCCCTGTCTAGCGCAAATGCAGCACATGATTTTTTTCCCCCCCAGAGGCCTAGAAAATTTGCCCCAACTCCGTAGTATATCACATGAAATATATACAGGACAGTGTTATGCATCATCAGTTTTTTTTTTTTTTTTTAAAGCCAGAACTCTTGTTATATGCTGTCAGAAAGACTTTTCAGACTTGTCTCAGAACCTTTCATTAGCTCTCGTTGGAAATACCAAGATCCACTTTTAATATTTCATCCTGAACAACATGTGATTATTTTTTCTTCCAGGATTTTTTTTGGCTATCACATTTCACGTATCATATCTCTGCAAGCTTACTATGGTACCAAATCTGTTGGATTACAGGATTGGGATACTGCATTATTTATTTTGCACTTATTGAGGTGTTAGTATGGAGACCTGGTCTCCCATCTTGCATTGTAACACCATGTATTTTTTTTCTCTCGCTCTTCATGATCTTTGCCTCTGGAGAGTAAATCCTCCATTGACTCTGCTTCTAATATCTATAACATGTTCAAATAGGTTTGTTTCCAAAGCCAAAAGTATGTATTTGCCTTTTTTCTTTAACTGTTAAAAAAAATCTTATTTTTAACTTTAACCAATATTATTTTACATATTGTAGAGATTCTAATTTATGTGATCTTCAGCAACCAAAATATTGCTCCGTTCAATTCTGTTCCTCTGTCTGGACTGTTTCTGTACATTTACAGCTTGGTTGGGAGTTTGAAGCTTTGTATTCATTTATTTTCCCAAGAGAAGTCTGTTACACAGCTATAGATATTTAACAGATAATGGTTGTTATTTTCAAAAGTTGCCAAACATTTATTTTAATACGACTGTTCCGGGTTCGACTCTATTACAACAGAAAGTAATTTTGACTCGTTCGTCAGAATGTACAAGTCATCCACTTACAGTGAAAGTTTACTTTAAGACATTGCTCTGGAATAAACTTTTACATTTTATGTTTCTAACGTAAAGCTTTAGATGTTATGCAGATTTTAACGATTTTAATACGGGACAAGTGCGCCCCTGTGGAATACTTGATTCTGATTGGCCATTAATCGCTGTATAGAAGGACGCTCATCCGGGCAACCAACTGAAACGGCTCACTTTCTTGTCAAACTAGAACGTAAATGGCGCCATCTTGTGTCTACGTTATCACTTGTAGCAAAAAGACAAAATTCAGGTAATTACTTGTCAAGTAACGAACAAATTCACCTTAAACAGTAGTCCCATTGAAAAATGACGAGTTGGACCACAACTAACGTAACGTCTTAAATAACAGCGTTAACGTTATTTTTGTTTATTAGAAACTGAAAGAGGTCGAAATTATTCTCTGGTAACTGACAGCATCGAACCTGGAACATTTTTGCACAGCTGTAACGTTACAAGCTCCTTACAGTTCTCTCCCTCAAATACAGTGACCTTGATTGGATTTCATGCACTTGTAAATAGTGGTTATATATCTCCATGCCATAATAATGATGCTGGATTTGAGCAGTTGGAAGGGAAGGACACGTGCTGCAGGATAAATGAATTACCATGTTTCAGAGCACTTCAAGTTCACAACTTCCCGCTAGTCATTCGTTTTAGAGCATTAGTATATTGAGACGAGTTTGTCAGAATATAAGGGATTCATTGATGGCATAAAAAGTAGTTCTCAGCACATTGACATTTGTATAGACTGGGTCTGTACATTATATTGTTGCCTACATCAGTACCTATATATTTTGATATTTTCAGAATGGAATAAATCTGTTATTGAGAGAAATGATTTTCGTCAGTTAAGATGGCGGAGTGAAGTTTACCATCCCTTTCTTGTGCAGCTGTGTACTTTGAAACCTTCTCTGGTCTTTTCTTAGGCTAACGAGAGCCGAATGGACGCCTTCCAAGAATCTACAAACTCCTTTATAAACACATGTACCATTTTGGATGTGTGCATCATGCTTTGATGAGGCAGAACAGATGCTAGGGTTATTCTTGGGGGTCGCTGCTTGGAGCCTTAATCTAAACAGAGGTAAGACAAAACCCAAGAATGAAAGCAACAACCATTTGCTCAGCTTCATTTTAATATGAAACTTTTTTCCTTTTTTTTTTCACAAAAAAAAAAAAAATCTTAGCCATTATGAAAGACTCCGCAAGCACACAATTTACTTGATTTAAATTTTATTTAGACAAAGAAATCCTTAAAACAACTTTACACGTTAAGGCCATGACACGCAACATAAATGATTTCACACAAAACTAAAAAAAAAAAAGTCTAGATAAAATCATTTGATTGTGGTAAATAAGGCACACAACTGGTTTTCTTACAAAAGGAATGGGATTCAATCCACAAGTATGTAGTTAAAATGAACAAGTAGAGATCATTTAGCATTATAATTCCTTAATTATGGGACATTTTACTACTTGTTAGAAAAGCGCATATTATTGACACTGCAGAAGGCACAATAAGGAATAAAAGCAGTTATGTTGTATGATATTGTTATTGCTTGCTATAAACACTAGCAGCTGCTAGACATACTGCTTAAATAATCTCAGAATGTGTAGAAACCAGATAGACTATCAACACAATAACGCATGGAAATCTTTGAACATTTTTGAACTTCCCATATGTAACAACATTCCCAAAAGCTAAGGATAAATGGCATGAAGCTGAAAACAGTAGTTTAACAGTAGGTCAAAAACCAACACAAATCAATAACTCAACCCATCACACACCAGAGATATGGGGCAGTTTTTAAATTCAAGGATTTAAAACAAGATTCTTCATTATTTACCTTCAGGAATAAAGTACAGCAGTCAAAATACCTTTGCCAGTAGAAAAATAAATATTACCATAAACAAAGAAATAAAGAAATTTTGGTGACGGCAGCCCTCAGCTATTTAACTTCAATCCAGTATGATCAACATTTAGAGTGTCATAGTGCAGTGATAAATATAAGCGCAAACCCTCTCCATTTATATTTTTGGGAGGAAAGAAAAAAAAAAACAGTACACAAGAAAACATGCAGTAAATCATCTGATTCAATATCTCTCTTTTCCTTATGACACTGAAACCTCACAAATGGCAAAAAAAAAAAAATTTGCTGTTTATGGACCAGTTATTAAAACAAACAAACAGATCTCCCACAGGCATGGAATTTTAAGACTGAATTCCAGGGCTGGAAAATTCACAACAATTGAAGTTGTGGATATTTCTATGGTGAATATACATTTTTATAGTGATTTTCAACTGTAAAATATTGACCTGGCTACATATCGGTCTTTGTGAGTGCAATCCATTTAGTGATCATGGACAATTGGAAGAAAAGTAATGGAAACGCAGTGTTCAAAAGTAGTGGGAACCCTGTAAAATAAATACAAAAATAGAGCAGCAAATGCTCAGGAGCACTAATGGCAAGATTCAAAATACAGGAAATCAACCAACAAATTTAAAGTCTATACTCTCACTTGCATCATTGTCAATGCTAATTGAACAATACAACTTTGCATATGTTCAATTTTGAACTTTTCAACCTTCTCCAGGCTGTACATGAAAATGCTAAATAATTTGAAATGCAGTGAGAGGTAGATTCTACTCATGTTTCATAGGAATGCATCCTTCCATCTCCAAAACCTCTGGCCAGCCTTCATACTTGTTAGTCTCTGCGTTGTTCTTGATGTGCTGGAGACATAAGAGATGGTTTATTCGATATTTAAAATATTAAACGAAAATCTGAACAGGACGTGGCCTCTCATTAGTGGGGGCTGCGGCCTGAAAACAAGATACAAGGCAAATTTACCTGCTCAAATGGGCTCTTTGTCTTGATCCCTTTGCCTCCAACAAACACCCAGTTATCTCTAAATCCCAGTATGCTGATGCTTGAGCTGCCCAATTCTGCTATCAGATTTCTGGCCTCATCGTTTAGCCTGTTCATAATTTTATTTTAAAAAAAAGCAATAAATAGACAAGCCGAGACAGATATGTAAAAGTCTGACCAAATATTTGAAGTGACTCACTTTGTTGCAGGATCATCAAAAGTGGCCATCATGACAATGCTTCCATCTTCTATTTCCTTTAAGAATTTGATGAGATGGTTCACATCTAGACAAGAATAAACATTTAAAAAGGTTAACTTTTGCATGCGACTCGAAAGGAAATTTCAAGTACTTGACCCTGCCGAGTTTGCAAACAGAAGCAAGCTCTTAGCAATAAAACCGTAACAGTGGCCCTGTTTTCAACTGGTATTAAAATTAGTCTCTTGCCACCCATTAAAACTCAACCATGGGGCCAGAAACCACTAGGGGGCCTCAGCACTCTTCCAAGTGGGCCTCAAGATAATTTGAAATTATTTAAGACATAATTAGCTTTAAAATACACTTTAAAACTTTAGTTTAATTTGTTTCCTCGACAACTGTCATTTTTATTCATGAATGAATGAA